AAAAAAAATATGCATCAGTGAGAGATGCACCTCCTGTGGTGCTGCCACCAATAATAATTTTATAGTGCTCCATGATAATAAATCCCGAAGAGGATTATATCATCATTGCAAAGAAGACGAAACCAACTCCTGTGCTTTCTGTCATCATACACACACACACATACACATAAATTGAAATTGTGTGTGTGTGTGTGGATTGTGAAAGATGAGGCTGAAGATGAGCGGCGAGCAGTTCGACGACGCGTTCAGCGTGGAGTTCGCGTCGGCCATCGCCGAGTTCCCGGCGCCGTCGTCAGGGGGCCGACGAGGCGCCACTGGTGCTGGTGCTGGAGGCCTCGTGGGTCGCGTGCGACTGTGTGCAGCTGACGCGGACAACGACGACGATGACGACAACAACAACAATGACGACGACGACGACGACGACGACATCGATGACGATGCTGTCGTTGTCGCCCGTGCTGGTCTCTCAAATAATAATAATAATAATAAGTCGGCTTTTTCTGCGGCGGCACCGACGTCGCATTTGTTGCTCTCGGCTACTGCAGCAGCAGCGACAGCCGCCACCAATAATGACGACAGTGTCGGGGCCCATAATGACGCCTCTTACTCTGTACTGTGCTACCAACAACAACAACAGCAGCAGCAGCAGACCAACGACTACTTCTCCTCCTCGCATTCTGGTGGGTTATTCTCTCTCTGGCTATTTTTTTTTTGCTGACGATTTTTGTGTGTGTTGGAAAGAAGAAGCATTGGATAAGAAGAACGATACCTTTTTTGAGGTAGGGGCTGGTTCAGTGACAATCAAAACTGTATTTACCAGTATTTACTTGAGTATACCACGCGCACCTTTTTCTCAAATTTCAGGAGAAAAAAAGGGGTGTGCGTCGTAAGCAGGTACAAATTTTTCAAGAAGTTTTAGGAAGTTGTGTGTGCATCATACTTAATATTATAATGGAGAAATTTCAAACATATGTAAAAAGAATTTTTTTTTTCACTGAAAAAGTTTACTGAAAAATGTGATCCAATTTTTGTTCAATTCATGCCTAAAGTCGAATTTTTTGATTTTCGTTTCAAAATTTTGTGGTTTTAGATTAACTAAAAATTGAGGTGAGCATCTTACTTGGGTAAAAGATTTTAGCCGAATTTCCAACTGGAAAACACCTGTGCATGCCCCACTTGAGGGCGCGTGGTACTCAAGTAAATTTGGTACTTGAGTACCACTTGCACCTTTTTTCCAAAATTTAAGGCAGAAAAAGGATGCGCTTGGTACCCAAAGGTAAGATTTTTGAGGAAAACTTCTTGGAAACCCTGAGCATCATATGCAGGTACATTAAAAGAAATCAAGAAAAAATGAGTGGCGCCAAGTCTTGTTCATGGAAAATCATGGTTGGAGGTACTGTATGGCAATTTCAAGATTCAGTTAAGTAAAGGGAATAAAAGATTGAGGGAGCTGCAGAAATTGAAAAGAATAAAAAATGAAATGTCAGTAGGGGAAAATGGATCCACAAAAAAGTACAGTTCTTAAATCTCTGCAAAAAAAAAATGAAAAAATGGGGTACATGTCTCACACCTGAGTTGGGTTTCAGACAAATTTCTTGCAGAAAAATGGGGGTGCATGGCTTACTCAGGGGCTCATGGTACTTGAGTATATATATGGTATTCATGATTTGGAATAGTCATCAATTTTTCCTTGTTTTTATCATATCTGGGAAGAGGCTGAAGACCTTGTGCTTTAAATTGGATTCAGTAACTGCTGCAATTGCTATAATTCTGGCTTATGCTGCTATTCTTGTTATTGATATTTTGTTTTCAATGGGATATAAAGAAGGGGGTGTAAGCATACACATCATTTGTGCAGTTGTACATGGTGGAACGTATATCCTTTTAACATCCGCAGTGGGAGGAATGACCAGTAGGATCCTACAGGGGTCTGGGGGGGAATAATAAGGAGGTCGTGTAATGTGTGTCTGTGGCCTTTTGCACCTTGAATTAATTTGCCTACTTGAAAATGCATCAATTAATATTAAGTTGTCAGGATGGCCAAGTGGTCTAAGGCGCTGCGTTCAGGTCACAGTGTAATTCTGCAGGCGTGGGTTTGAATCCAACTTCTGCAATCATTTTTTCATTTTTTTTGTCCACACTGCGGACGCTCTACTACTTGTTTTAGTATCCATTATTTGCAGCTGATTTTTGTTTCCCATTCTCAAGTGATTGAATGCGCTTGGATGTATTTGGGTTGGGTGATGGGGAGGGGTTTAGGATGTGGAAATATTGATTGAACCTTGTGAATGGTGAAAAGCAGAAAATGATGCTTTCTGTTCATTCATTCATTCATCAAAATTTCCTCAATTTTTTCACTTGACTCGACAAATTGACTTGATCAATTTGAACTTGTATTTTCAATCTAATGTCTGTTGGCTCTGGCTTGTTCGTTTTTTGTGCAAATTTCTTCAGGAATTAAGTTTGGGATGTGTTTATACTACAGGATTTTTGTTTGAATGAACGCAATTTTTTAAAAGAATTACCATGAATACCTTGAAGGTGCAGGGGAATAAGTTGAATTTGAGGAAGTGGTTATTTTCTGATGATCACTGGATCCAAGGCAGCCAAAATTTTAGCTACAAAGTTCCTGTTGGAAATGTATAAGCAAGCAAATATTTTTTCCAACTGGTTTTAGGAGGTTTCTGATTTGATCATAGGTAGTGAAGATGGTATGTGTCAAGCCAGAAATGACCAATTAAGTTAGATTCTTTGGTTGGTAGTTGGTACCAAGGTTTTCAAAGAGAGGCCCTGAAGAAAGTGTTAGGGAATATTTTACCAAAACATAACTACATTATTTGAGCATTTAGGATTGAAAGAGGCAGAAAGGAGCACTTCTAAAAATGAAACTTGTCCTCAGCCTGGGACAAGGCCAGAAATTTCCATGGAATTTCTGATTCAAACATTAGTGATGTATTTTTCGGTCCCAATAAAAATGAACAGAGAAAGATGATGAGCTTTGATGAACTTCAAAAACTCAGCAGAACTCTTCCTGATTTGGACAAACACTTCACTGCAAATGCTTTTGAAAATGAATGATGATGGTGATAAAAAAGGGTGTATTTATGGGGAACCTTTGTGACTTCTAGATTTTGATACTGGTTTTAGCAGAAGTGCATTTTTATGTGCTTCAGATGTTGGCCAATTATGTTGAAGTCAAAGACATATTGTAGCATCCTCCTATCCTACTTTTTGGAATAAAGATTTGTAGAGTATCTCGATTCTTGGGTGCTTTTGTAGCTATTGTTTCTGCTTGATTTTATCTCCTTGATTGAGAAGGAGTTTGGCGCAGTTCCCCATCAGAAGGCATGGGAATTTTTTGGAACCAAAAAGGGAAGAACAAACACAGACACAGAAAGGTAGACAGGTCTATAAGCTAAGGATACAGCTCACAGTTTTCTCAGACCCACAACAATAAGATGTACCAAAGACAGACTTCCTATACAGACACAGGGATATTCCTAAGGCACTATAGACAAGCTGTGTATGTGACTGTCTGCTGCAGGAGAAGCATTATTTTGAGTGGTTTTGTTGTTTTTTTTTTGCCCTGGGGTTCTGCTCTGCCACTGGTCTGCCACATTGCAGTAGACTGGTTGCACAGCAAGAGCTTTCCACTGTGCCTTGCTCCAATCATATGCTTGAGGCATGAGCCAATGTCTTTGGCTCCTTTGCCATGGTAGTGGCATCTCTTGGCCAAAGATGGACAGTATGCAAGTAAACTTTTGAGAAATTGTGTGTACAAAAACAACTTCAAAACAGTATCTTTTTCTTTTACGTCAAACTTTTCTGACTCACCTGAAATGGACGTAACCGTCGAACTCTGTCCTGTGACTAAGAGACTTATAGGAAAAGAATTATAGGACTAGTTATTTGAGAACTGTGCACTTTGTTTTTCAAAAATAATGCAGTTTTTGTCTTGGGAAAAATCCCAAAAATGACTTGCTTTTTGGTTGGATATTCCTCTTTGTCAAAGAAAATTGCACAGTAGCTGTCATACTATTTGATTAACTACTGATGTAATCAAATCATTGACAGCCGCCTGTCAAAAGCAATTCAGCTTTCAACTCAAAGTTCCTTAGTTGGTGAAAAGTGCAAATTAAAGGGTCTTGTATGAATGATAATTTTTGAGATATAGGTCCAGATAAAACCACCTTTAGAGAGTCTATAAAATTGAGTTGAACAGAAGTTTGGGGGAAAACTTCCTTGATTTACTCAACTTTATACAATGAAATATTGTTGCAACATGCTTTTGCAGACATCAGAAAATGTTATGTGAAACCAAATATTTTGGTATAATGGCATTTTCAAAACTAATGACTGAAAATATTTCACTTCAGACCATGCTGTCAATCAAGTAGATCTTACTTTCCTGGCATTCTCAGATTTTTTGATCATTCTTTGAAAACCAAGTGATCTTTTCAACAGGAACTTAGCTTCAAATGCATTTCATCAATGGCATCAATCTCTTCTTCCCAGGTTTACAATGAGTGCTGGAACCACTTATTGGAAGAATGCTTTTCATTGATTACAGCTTCCATCCATATGCTACAATAAAGAACCAGTCAGTTAGATTTTTGATCAGCAAATTGTATGCTGTGCCTATGCCTCTGTTTGGTAATTTCTACCAGGAGAATGTTTTGAAAAGTGCTCTGAAAAGTTTGTTATACTGGAATTGAGAAATTTGTTATAATGTACACCTATGTTTTAACCTTTATCATATAGGTTTTCTTGTGACTCTTGAGGCACATACTGTATCTGTTATAGATGTAAAGTACCATACTAAGAAATCTGTTATAAAGTTATTTGTTGTAATGAGATTTTACCATATTAAATTTTTCTTTAGCATATTCAGAAAACTGCTGCTGAAGCAACAATTCTAAAATGGAAGGTACATGTTTTTGTTGAAGTTTTGTCATAGAAAAAGAAAATGCAGTTTGAAAAGACTGAGTGGACTTTACCTGCATTGGCAGCTTGAGACAGGACACTGATTCTCTGAATATCCTTTTCTTAATATCCTGCAGTTATTTTAGAACTGTGCACTTTGTTTTTCAAAAAGAATGCAGTTTTTGTATGACTTACTTTTTGGTTGGATATTTCTCTTTGTCAAAGAAAATTGCACAGTAGCTGTCATACTATTTGATTAACTACTGATGTAATCGAATCATTGACAGCCGCCTGTCAAAAGAAATTCAGCATTCAACTCAAAGTTCCTTAGTTGGTTAAAAGTGCAAATAAAGGGTATTGTATGAATGATAATTTTTGAGATAGAGGTCCAGATAAAATAACCATATGGAGAGTCTATAAAATTGAGTTGAACAGAAGTTTGGGGGAAAACTTCCTTGATTTACTGAACTTTATACAATGAAATATTGTTGCAACATGCTTTTGCAGCAGATATCAGAAAATGTTATGTGAAACCAAATATTTTGGTATAATGGCATTTTCAAAACTAATGACTGAAAAGAATTCACATCAGACCATACTTTCAATCAAGCAGATCTTACTTTCCTGGCATTCTCAGATTTTTTATCATTGTTTGATAACAAAGCTATCTTTTGAACAGAAAATTAGCTACAAATGCATTTCATCAATGGCATCAATCTCTTCTTCCCAGGTTTACAATGAGTGCTGGAACCACTTGGAAGAATGCTTTTCATTGATAACAGCTTCCATCCATATGCTACAATGAAGAACCAGTCAGTTAAATTTTTGATCAGCAAACTGTATGCTGTGCCTCTGCCTCTGTTTGGTAATTTTTATCAGGAGAATGTTTTGAAAAGTGCTCTAAAAAGTTTGTTATACTGGAATTGAGAAATTTGTTATAATGTACACCTATGTTTTAACCTTTATCATATAGGTTTTCTTGTGACTCTTGAGGCACATACTGTATCTGTTATGGATGTAAAGTACCATACTAAGAAATCTGTTATAAAGTTATTTGTTGTAATGAGATTTTACCATATTAAATTTTTCTTTAGCATATTCAGAAAACTGCTGCTGAAGCAACAATTCTAAAATGGAAGGTTTTGTCTAATTTCTTTCTCATTGGCACTGGCTGGACTTGTTTCAAATATTTGGTGCTAGAGAGCACAGAAAATAATCCAAGGGTGATCAAGATAACCCATTCAGTCTAAGAAAAGTGAAATATAATTTCTTCAAGCCAACAAATTGCTCTCAAAAATTAATTTTTGCTAGATTAGGATTTTTTTTGCATTTCAGTGACCTTTATAGTCACTCAAACAACAAATGCACCTGAGTGCAAAAAAATTCCTGGATTGATGACCTGTTTGGAAATGAAAGTCAAATTTCTGCAGTTCAAGTGACTGTGTAATATTTTGAATATACAAACCAGAATAAACTTCCAAACTTATTGTTTTTTACATGAATGAATAAACAGAACATTTTATTTGCCACTTTTCAGCGTTCACAAGGTTCAATCAAGATTTCCACGTCCAAACCACCTTCCCACCCAACCCAAATCTACTCAATGACATTTGAGTACTTCAGAGCAGGAAACAGATCAAAAATGGAAAACAAAAATAAAATAAAATACAATCCACAAAATACAATTGGACATCTGACATGTATGCGTACACCCATTCATTTCCTGACATTGAAAACAAAATATCAGTAAAAATTTATTCAAAGCACAAGGTCTTCAGCTTGTTTCTGCATGAGGTTCATTTGAATGAACAATATAAAGAGAATCTTCCATGAGAAATCATATAAGGCCAACAGTTCATCTTGATCCTTTAAGATTTCAGAAAGGGTCTCTTCATATTGAATTCCAATACTTGTAAGTCTTTCTTAAGCTTGTTGTTCGAGATAAACTTACTTTAACATAAATTTGTAGAATTTTGCAAGTGGATCAATTTATAAAGTAAAGTTTTCAAACTGTTGAAATAAAAACAGAATCAGCTTGGGACGAGGCCGGGGAACCTTATTTGGTTTCCCTAATTTAAACTGAATGTATATATTTCAAAATTTGTCCCACAAGTTAATTGCACAAAGACACAATTTTTACCAAACACAACAACTCAACAGAACTCTTCCACAGACACACTTTTGTAGATTTTGTAGTTGTTCACCCAAAAGTTTGATTGCAAATGTGTAGTTCTTCCGTGAATTTGAGGGGAAACGGAAATAGGTTTCTGGTTTTCTTTTGTTTGAATCACTGTTGTCCTTGGTGAGTTCCTTCCCTTTGAGGGTTGGAACTCTTATCAGATTTTTGCGGTTTTTTATATAATTCATAACAATTAGATTCTGCGTTGTTTGGCGTGCGCGTGTGGCAGTTTCCCAACACTTGTTTCTATCAGTATGAAATGCTGGACACAAGAAGAAAAGGTGCTCTTATTAATTTCTATTATCATTAGACGTTGATGCACAAACTAATGTATTTATGCTGCTGGAGTTACACCACTTATAGACACCTTTGAAAATTGGATGAATTTCTTGCTAAAGTTATTTTTCCATAGAATAGACACTACTTGTGCCTATTCTTCTTGCTGATTTGAATAAGACAAAGCCTTTTTCCTGGTAGCTAAACTTGAAGATATCTCTTCTTTCTTTTGTTTTCCCCTGTGGCTACCGTATCACAGATGACGGATATTACGGTTCCCACCACCACCACCACCACCACCACCTGCACCACTTGCGCCATCCGCACCACCACCCCGACGATTACACCAACCCCGCTGGTGACGCCTTCGGCGGCGGCGGTGATGTCGGCATCGGCGGCGGCCCTGACGACGACGACTGCTACAGCGGCGACATCAAGTTCCGGCCCTCTCATCCCCCTGGTGCCGACCACCACCACCACCACAATAATAATAATAACAATAACAACCACAACCACCAGCACCACCAACACGTACAATCCTCCCACCACTTGCTGCTCCCTCCTCCTCCAGCAGCACCGTCACCAACGTCTCTCCTGCACCTCACCAGCAGCATGCCGAACCCCTACCAGCACCAGGCGGCGCCACTGTCGCAGCACCACCACCACCACCACCAGCACCACCACCAACTCCAGCAGCACAGCCACTCATCCTTGCTGCTGTACTCGTCCTCGCCGACACCGTCGCCGTCTCCCAGCACGTGCACGACGCCGGTTCCGTCGCCGTTGTCGTCGTCGAACACGTCATCCGTCGTGTCCCGCCGCGGCCGGCTGTCGACGGAAAAGGGCGGCGGCGGCGGCGGCGTCAATTCCGGCCACGCCCCGCCGGTGGAGGTGCGCAAGAAGCGCCGGCTGGCGGCCAATGCCCGCGAGCGACGGCGCATGAACAGCCTCAACGACGCCTTCGACCGTCTCCGGGAAGTCGTGCCGTCGCTGGGCAACGACCGGAAGCTGTCCAAGTTCGAGACGCTGCAGATGGCCCAGACGTACATCGGGGCCCTGCACGAGCTCCTGCAGCGTCACTGACGACGACTCGTTGTTTTTTTTTCTTCTTTTCCTTCTTCTTATTTTACTGTGTGTGTGTGTGTGTGTGTGTGTGTGTGTACATCAGTGAGACCCCCACATGTGGACACCTTGACGTTTGGACAATTCGACATAGGGACACTTATTTTCCACAAAAAAATTCAATGAAAAAGGAATGACACTACTGACTCAACATATAGGAACATTTTGTAATAAAATTGCAAATACCTTTCAAGCCAAAATTCAAGAAACAGATATTTCCAGCAACCCTAAAAGTAATGTAAGAAAAATTCTTGGGCATTTCTTCCACCAATTTAACATATCCCTTTAGCCAATTAAAAAAAAAAATTATCTCCAGCATAGAGGGAGTTATTCCTATGCTCTTTTTTCACTTGAATGTTATTTTTACAGGGAATGCCAACATTTCTACGTACTGCTGTTCAGAGGTATCAGTATTCAATTCCTCAAATGTCCATATTCCGTTGAAATCTATTGATTTGAATCAGTTTCAATTGGGAGACAATTTTTATTTCCATGGAATCATGGCGAGTATTTTGTCCATAAAACACCAATTGAAAATTATGTAATGTAAGTCCAAGGGAAAATGAGACTGAACTTAGGGACATTTTGACTATTGAGGACACTCTTGATGCACCAATTACGTCCGCATCGGGGGGTCTCACTGTATTTATATGATTGAGCTCATAATGTGCTGATTTTGAAGAAGGAAATGCTGTGATATGTTTCAAATGTGCATCATCAGGCGCATGCTGGGGAAAATAATTGAGGAGGGGTTATTGTATTCATTTGTTGTAGTGTTGAACACTGCATTATTGTCCGCATGCAGCTGGGCCATCATGGTGATGATGATCATTATCATTATTATCATCAGCAGTGATGATGACACAAACACACACACCCACTAAAACACATATCCATTGCTCAAGTGTTGCTGGTGCTCGTATGTTGTTGGGGAGAATAATAAAATGCCCAATATTTTTGTGCTCAAAACTATATTCTTTCTTGTTGTGACAGTCATTTCAGGAATGGGTGTGCAAATGTCAACAAATAACGGCATGATAATTGAATGAGCATTTTTTGTTTTGTTGCTCAGAACTTCAAATGTGAATTGAAAAGGGAGGAATTCATCAAAGTCTTCAATAATATAAAATGAATGATGACAAAAATCAACATTAAGGGATTATACTGGACTGATCATAGAGATTATCTGTTTTTGTAGAAAAGATATAAGAAAGTTGTGTATTTCCATTGCACTTGCCTGTTTCAGTTACAAATGTGCTTATTCTAAGCCAAATGACAGTTGTATACCACGATATTTCAGATTGATTATAAATTTTTGTTTAAAAAATGAAAGGATGATTAAAATATCCTATAGAGCATCATCTCATTTTTTTATTTGCAAAGACCAAAAACACAGTATCTGTCAAAAGATTTTCCCACATTGATTTTGACCAAAGTTCTAACAATAAGGTAAAATCTTATTAAAACCAGTCCTTTTTGGACCATTAAAATAGCTTTGTTTTATTTAAAAAATAATATCCCAGTTTTCCATTTTGAAGAAATTGAATGCCTTTGAATGGATTTGGGTTGGGAGGGGAGAGGTTTGGGATTTGGGAATGTTGTGTGAACCTTGTCAATGCTGAAAATCAGAAAATTAAGCTTCATTTCCAATTAAATTTTATTCAATAAAAAAAGAAAGCATTAATAAGTAACTCGTCATTAAAAATATTACGTTTTGGACAGGGAGCTAAAATTTCAGATGCAGTATTAGGAAATTTCCTTTACTGAGATTTTCTCACTGCACTACTCTCTCCAAAACGTTTCCAATCAGGCGCAGGAGAGGAAATATACACAATTTCACTGAGTCACAGGAAGCAAAAATAAAAAAATAAAATACCACCAAATTTTTTCTTGAAAAATGGTTTTGAGCCATGAAAGTTTAAATGATGATTATAAGGGTTGCTCCCTACATAATTCAAGAATGAGTCGCTGTTCTTCACGCTGGATTTATTACATCACTTTCGAATATTTTCATGCTCCAGAAACATCATCAGTTGGGATCTGACTTTTTTATTCATCATCACAGTTTTTTCTGAAGGCTATTGACCTTGGCGTGCATTTAATTCTTGCGAATGTGCCTCAAGCATCAAAATTCGAGGAAAGAGTGCGAACCTGAATCAGTCAACCAACATTTATGTCATACTGTATCTGCATTTGAAAAAATTAAACAGGAAGAAAAACAAATCCGCATTCAAGTTACAAAAATTATTTCTCAATCTTCTGCTCATATTTCATGCTTTTAATTATTTTTTGCGCCAAGTTGAGAATTTCTGAACATTTGCTGAAAAATCCTTTTCACTTCCTGTTGGATATAATACCCAAATATTGTGGTTATATCTTGAACTAAAAATATTTGTCAGACACTCAAATAAGAACCTTCGTCCCAATTGCCGAAATCCATGGAATGTGTCGACTGTTTCTTGAATTAGTTGCTGTGGAATTTCTTTAAAATGCCACGTCATCGATGGTGGAGGCCGGAACCCAATTTCTTGAGCATGAGTGAATGGAAAAGCTTGCAAATAGGCAATTACCTGGAATTGGTCAAATACTGTCCAAGTGAATTTCTCTCCGGCTAACAAGCAACGCATTATTTTTCGAAATCGATTTCCAAACTTTTTGGTTTAAGTTGAGCATTTTCGAGGCCAAACATTATTCTTGAAGATGTTTGCAGAAAGTTTGACAGCGTCAGACTTTGAAAATTTCGCTGCTGGAAAAAATGTTGGATAAAAATACGTTCGATTCAGACACATCGAAAATGCATTGATGCTCAATTTTCCAGGATTTAAAATGAAGAAGTTTGAAGCGGACTTCCGGTCTCGGAAAGAGAAAATTTTCAAGTAAAACCAAAACTTGAGCCATTAAAAGTGTTCATACCTTGTCTGCTGATACTGTGAGGATATAGCCTTTAAGCTAATTGACATTTCTTGTAGTTCTTTGACCCACAATTGATGAGAGATAGGATTAAAAAAGGCTTAATCTTTTGAATCAATGTAATGGATACAAGAAGAAAATATTGAAAATTAGACTGTCTGGCTAATGGCTCTTTTCTTCTCACTATAGACTGTGAGATGAAGCCATGAGTTAGGAATTTGGATTCCACATACTGTATTTAATCCAGAACCACATGTACCTTTTTTTCTCAAATTTCAGAAGAAAAAATGGGGTGCCCGTCATAAGCGGGTACACATTTTTCAATAAGTTTTAGGAAGTTATGTGTGCATTATACTTAATTATAAAGGAGAAATTTCAAACAAATGTAACATGAAAACTGTTTTGTACTGAAAAAGTTGAAAATTGATCAAATTTTTGTTCAATTCATTTCTAAAAGTCAATTGTTTTGAATTGATTTTCAAAATTTTGTGCTTTCAGATTCAGTAAAATTGGGGTTCACGTCTTACTTGTGCAGATTTTAGCCAAATTTCCAACTGAAAAACTCCTGTGCTTGCCTAACTCGAGGGACTGTGGTACTTGAGTAAATAGGGTATTATTTCAACTTAGAACGCACGTGGATCACAAAAGGCCATGCTAAAAAGATATAGGGGAACAGTAAATTATTTTTTTTCAGGAACTGTCAGTGCTAATCCTCTATACTAGTTATGCAGCTGGAAAAAAAAACTCCACACGCATTTTTCTTATTTTCAGCAAAAATCTTCTGCTGGCAAGGAATAAAAAAAGAGATGTGGTACCTTAATTCATTGCTGGGATAGGGTTGGTGTGGAAAGTGGTCAAATTGCAAGAGAATGGCAAATGGCATGTTTCCTAGAAAACATGTAATTTTTTGGTTTTGTGTCTCTGCAGCAGGTTGAATTGCATGGCAGAGGTTTAAATTCAAGTCAATTTCCAGTAAATTTGACCATCAAATTATGTGGTGTCCACATTATAGGAGATCAAATTGAAAGGTATTTACTGTGTTGGACTTCTTCCCAACCTAAGCCTTGGTTCTTTGGTCAGGATTATTTTGTCTTCCTTTCAGTGCTCTTGCAGGGCACACAATTTCGAAAAAAACTATTCAAACTTTGCCAATACAGAAGGAATGTGCACAGGTTGACACCATAAACATAAATACAGAAAAAGTCACTCTGAAACGAATTTGTCTAAATAAATTTTCTTCAAAGTTGAACCTCTCTAAGTGGATTTTTTTTCATGTCTCAGTCTGACTTCCCCTAGAAACATTGGAGTAACATCCTCTGCAACTTGTAGGCATTTTCTCCAACACCTCCTTAAGTTTTGGACGGTGGCAGCCTCCTTTCCATCCCAGGGCAAAGTTGGATTATTTCCAGATGGGCCTGCATAACATTTTTGCACAAGGTTATGCAACCTCTGCCAGGTGGGGGAGGGCAAAGTTGGATTTTATTTGGGGATAAAGAAATGCTGGGAAAGTCCTGAGTTGGACTTACTCCACATTGACCTCAAACCTGGGCTCCTGGCATTCAAGCTCAAATTCAATCTTTGAACAGGGAAACAACACAAGACCATGGGAAAAAAAGGGAGCCTTGAAGTTTCCATTTTTTCATTTTTAAAGCAAAAATTCTGTGTGGGAAATTTAGAAAATGCCGGGATTTTTCCCATCTTTGCCTTGCACACACTGTTGGGGTTTTTTAAATTCCACTCTTGAGTGCAACAAAAATCTGCAAAAAAAGTCTAACTTTGCTACAGAAGGGTTGAATAAGATTTTCTAAGGCTATCAAATTTTCTTGACAAAGGGAAGGTAGAAGCAATAAAGAGTTAACTTGACGTGTTTTGAAAGGAAGTTAAAGACAACAATTGGGAGAAAAGCAAACCCTTCCATCAAGTGCAGCATCCTTTCAATTCACTTTTTGAAGCAATTTAAGGTGCAGAATATCACCATTTGAAATTTTTTGCAATTATTTTATTTTCCCTGACAACAAAAATGCTTGTTTCTCAATCTCAAAATCTTTCTACGCCAAGAAATGGCCCCTCAAATTTCACTTGCTGTAGAGGCTTCAATGAATCACAAATGTGTCTCTTATTAGTCCTATATAGTTGTTATTGTATTTGTTTTAGGGGTCTCTAACAATTAATCCTCTCTACAATGCATGTTTATTTCTCTGGTCCCCTTTTTTAAACTTTCTTGTAGCAAGAGTCCACCTATACCTGTATGTAAAGCACTGTACTGTATATTCATCCCAGCTGACTGTATTCTTGTATAGGTGAGATTATTGTGGAATGCTTGGAATGTGCTGGACAGGTCATTCTCTGATTTTCCTCTGCTGATGCTGCTGCAACTACAATACATAGGATATATAAATGGAGCTCTCAGCAGCAGCAGAAACTAGTTTCCCTCCTCCTCCTCCTCCCATTCCTTTGCAGTATTTGAAAAATCTTTTCCTCTATGAAAAATCCTTTTCACTTCCTGTTGGATATAATACCCAAATATTGTGGTTATATCTTGAACTAAAAATATTTGTCAGACACTCAAATAAGAACCTTCGTCCCAATTGCCGAAATCCATGGAATGTGCCGACTGTTTCTTGAATTAGTTGCCGTGGAATTTCTTCAAAATGCCACGTCATCGATGGTGGAGGCCGGAACCCAATTTCTTGAGCATGAGTGAATGGAAAAGCTTGCAAATAGGCAATTATCTGGAATTGGTCAAATACTGTGCAAGTGAATACTGTCTCTCCGGCTAACAAGCAACGCATTATTTTTCGAAATCGATTTCCAAACTTTTTGGTTTAAGTTGAGCATTTTCGAGACCAAACATTATTCTTGAAGATGTTCGCAGAAAGTTTGACAGCGTCAGACTTTGAAAATTTCGCTGCTGGAAAAAATGTTGGGTAAAAATACGTTCGATTCAGACACATCGAAAATGCATTGATGCTCAATTTCCCAGGATTTCAAATGAAGAAGATTGAAGCGGACTTCCGGTCTCGGAAAGAGAAAATTTTCAAGTAAAACCAAAACTTGAGCCAATAAAAGTGTTCATACCTTGTCTGCTGATACTGTGAGGATATAGCCTTTAAGCTAATTGACATTTCTTGTAGTTCTTTGACCCACAATTGATGAGAGATAGGATTAAAAAAGGCTTAATCTTTTGAATCAATGTAATGGATACAAGAAGAAAATATTGAAAATTAGACTGTCTGGCTAATGGCTCTTTTCTTCTCACTATAGACTGCGAGATGAAGCCATGAGTTAGGAATTTGGATTCCACATACTGTATTTAATCCAGAACCACATGTACCTTTTTTTCTCAAATTTCAGAAGAAAAAATGGGGTGCCCGTCATAAGCGGGTACACATTTTTCAATAAGTTTTAGGAAGTTATGTGTGCATTATACTTAATTATAAAGGAGAAATTTCAAACAAATGTAACATGAAAACTGTTTTGTACTGAAAAAGTTGAAAATTCATCAAATTTTTGTTCAATTCATTTCTAAAAGTCAAATGTTTTGAATTGATTTTCAAAATTTTGTGCTTTCAGATTCAGTAAAATTGGGGTTCACGTCTTACTTGTGCAGATTTTAGCCAAATTTCCAACTGAAAAACTCCTGTGCTTGCCTAACTTGAGGGACTGTGGTACTTGAGTAAATAGGGTATTATTTCAACTTAGAACGCACGTGGATCACAAAAGGCCATGCTAAAAAGATATAGGGGAACAGTAAATTATTTTTTTTCAGGAACTGTCAGTGCTAATCCTCTATACTAGTTATGCAGCTGGAAAAAAAACTCCACACGCATTTTTCTTATTTTCAGCAAAAATCTTCTGCTGGCAAGGAATAAAAAAAGAGATGTGTTACCTTAATCCATTGCTGGGATAGGGTTGGTGTGGAAAGTGGTCAACTTGCAAGATAATGGAAAATGTAATGTTTCCTAGAAGATATGTAATTTAATGTTGTGTGTCTCTGCAGCAGGTTGAATTGCATGGCAGAGGTTCAAATTCAAGTCAATTTCCAGTATATTTGACCATCAAATTATGTGGTGTCCACATTATAGGAGATCAAATTAAAAGGTATCACCTGTGTTGGACTTCTTCCCAACCTAAGCCTTGGTTCTTTGGTCAGGATTTTTTCTTCTTCCTTTCAGTGCTCTTGCAGGGCACACAATTTCGAAAAAACTATTCAAACTTTGCCAATACAGAAGGAATGTGCACAGGTTGACACCATAAAAATAAATACAGAAAAAGTCTCTCTACAATGAGTTTGTCTAAATGAATTCTCTTGAAAGTTGAACCTCTCTAAGTACAATTTTTTTCATATCTCAGTCTGACTTCCCCTAGAAACATTGGAGTAACATGCTCTCTAGCTTGTAGGCATTTTCTCCAACACCTCCTTGAATTTTGGACAGTGGCAGCCTCTTTTCTATCCCAGGGCAAAGTTGGATTATTTCCAGATGGGCCTGCATAACATTTTTGCACAAGGTTATGCAACCTCTGCCAGGAGGGGGAGGGCAAAGTTGGATTTTATCTGGGGATAAAGAAATGCTGGGAAAGTCCTGAGTTGGACTTACTCCACATTGACCTCTAACCTGGGCTCCTGGCATTCAAGCTCAAATTCAATCTTTGAACGGGGAAACAACACAAGACCATGGGAAAAAAGGGAGCCTTGAAGTTTCCATTTTTTCATTTTTGAAGCAAAAATTCTGTGTGGGAAATTTAAAAAATGCCGGGATTTTTCCCATCTTTGCCTTGCACACACTGTTGGGGTTTTTTAAATTCCACTCTTGAGTGCAACCAAAATCTGCAAAAAAAGTCTAACTTTGCTGCAGAAGGGTTGAATAAAATTTTCTAAGGCTATCAAATTTTCTTGACAAAGGGAAGATAGAAGCAATACAGCATTAACTTGACGTGTTTTGAAAGGAAGTGAAAGGCAACAATTGGGAGAAAAGCAAACCCTTCCATCAAGTGCAGCATCCTTTCAATTCACTTTTTGAAGCAATTTAAAGGGGCAGAATATCACCATTTACAATTTTTTGCAATTATTTTATTTTCCCTGACAACAAAAATGCTTGTTTCTCAATCTCAAAATCTTTCTACCCCAAAACTGCCGCAATGAAATGGCCCCTCAAAATTGTACTTGCTGTAGAGGCTTCAATGAATCACAAATGTGTCTCTTATTAGTCCCATATAGTTGTTATTGTATTTGTTTTAGGGGTCTCTAACAATTAATCCTCTCTACAATGCATCTTTTTTTTCTGGTCCCTTTTATAAACTTTCTTGTAAAAAAAAGTCCACCTATACCTGTATGTAAAGCACTGTACTGTATATTCATCCCAGCTGACTGTATTCTTGTATAGGTGAGATATTGTGGAATGCTTGGAATGTGCTGGACAGGTCATTCTCTGATTTTTCTCTGCTGATGCTGCTGCAACTACAATACATAGGATATATAAATGGAGCTCTCAGCAGCAGCAGAAACTAGTTTCCCTCCTCCTCCTCCTCCCATTCCTTTGCAGTATTTGAAAAATCTTTTCCTCTTCATCTTGTCCTTGCTCTCTCAAATACTCCCTGCACCTGCAACAGAAGCTGTGTGTGTGTGTGTGACTGAGTGTGAGTGGGAAGTTGGCCACCGAGTTCCCATCAGAGTCGGTGCAGCATATATTTCTGCTGCTGCTGCTGGGATGACTAAGTGGTAAAGGAAGGAATTGCGTGTGTGTGCGAGATAGGATCTGTCGCATCAAGCGGGATAATTCTCTCTCGGAGTCCCCCTCGCACCTGGAACCAGTTAATCACCGGGTTCGCGTCGCTTCCGGCGCCACCACCACCACCACCGCCAAAAAGGAAAGAAGAAACAAGAAGAAGAAGACGACGTGACAAACAATCTCTTTCTTGCTCATATATATATATATTTTCTTTTTTCGGAGAGAGAGAGAGAGAGAGAGAGAGTGTATAAGAGGATTGAATGAATTAGCGGCGGGGTTATTAATTGCGCGCGCGTAAACGCGATGACTGCGCGCCTGGGCTCCCTGCGTGGGACACTGCCTCTGCTGCCTGCCTGCCGATTAACATTCCGCGTGGGAAACACTCTTCTTCTTCTTCTCCTTCTCCCAAAGACAACTTCCTTCCTGTCTGCCTTTTTTTTTCCGACAGAGAAGAAAAACCGCGGCGACCACTTGCAAATCGCCGCCGCCGCCGAAAGGAATATGCGTCACCCAACTCATTTCCAGTGAGTCTCGTGCACGCAAGCAGCCAAGCAAAAAGACTCCAGTGGTCAAGACACTTCCTGCTGCTGCATCTTCTTCTTCTTCTTCTTCTTCTTCCAATTGTCATACCATTATTATTATTTTTAAATAAAATTAAGATAAAGGACTTTTTGTCTCTTGTATTATATTGCAATAAGTAGCCGCTCAACTGGTCTTGAGATGGAATATAAATTCACAAGAAAAGTCGCCTGAGGTGGACCAGAGACAGATGAAAAGTGCCTCTCATCATCATCATCATCATCATCTTCATCACCTGATATCATGTAAATGGGACAGCTGATGTGTGTCGCAGTTCCCGAGTTATCGCACCGATTTATTGTCACCACCAGCACCAGCAGCAATGAGAAGCAAGTATGGATATATATAAAACGGTTCCAGAGCCCAGTAATCATCATGGTAATAATCATGGCTGCTCTGGGCTCTTTGGAAAAGTACGGATGATGGGTAGCTTTATCAGCATGGCAAGGCTATACCTATATATATATATATATATAGAGTTAGACTTGAGATGGCAAATCAGTTTCTTTCATGTCATTTTCCAATCCTTGTATTTTTGGGGTCTGATGTGCATGCTGGCAAATTGGACATTATTATCTATAAACCACGCTCTGCTACCATTTTTGTTAGGAATTTCCCCAACCAAAGCTATTTTATGAGTAAAACAAAAACAACACTCAGCCTGGGACTGGCCAGGAGCATCTTTACATGAGTGAATGAATGAACATAAAACTTTATTTGCCGCTTTTCAGTGTTCACAAAGCACAACCAAGACTCCCGCATCCAAACCCCTCCCCACCCAACCCAACTCCCACCAAAGACATTCAATCACTTCAAATCATGAAACAAAGCACAAACCAATGACAAAAAAGTGTCTCTTCATTGAATTTCAGTAATTTTAAATCTTTCTTAAGCTGATTTCTATTCATTTGAAATGCTGGAAATAAGAAGAGAAGGTGCATCTTTATATTGACAAGGCACCAAAGAATTGAGATTCATTCATGTCCAGAAAGAATCAACAACTGGGCATCTTCTTCCAGATTACAGTAATACATACACTCACACAATAAATCACACAATTTCTCAGAAAATTGGTTGCTGGACATTCAGCAGTGGATGAGAAGCTGAAGATGAGAATGATGTATTCAGTACAGTTTTTCAAACGTTTTACAAGACTTATTTGGGGTGTAAAAAGAAAGCTTGGTTATTTTTGTGAGAAGATCTTAATTCTCTGTTTCTGATAGGGTAATAAAGGAAACATCAAAGACAATGTTGAGCATTGTTGTACAAGTTTTCAAGGATTTTGGGAGCAAGTTCTTTGATGTGCAGCTCTAAATATAGGAGCAAAGCATCAGTTCTTGAGACAGTGGTGGTTTATTAAGATAATATTTAATTGCCAGTGTGCATCTCAGTCCCCAAGACCATTTGCCATTCCTTTTTGTATCATACAGTCACCACCTGCACAGCAAACTTAATTTTGGCAACCAACTAGTCTGTTGTGTGTGAAAAGTCTGTTATGCAAATTCAATCATTAAATAATTAAAATTTAGCGTTCTACATGGGGAACCAGAACAATGTATCTTGTGGAGTCTTTAAGGTCATGTGAGGTGATTGAAATAATAATAATCAGGCTATGAATGGGTACTGTAGGCTCAATTTTGAAAATTGCTGATTTTTTTTTTTTTTACTTCCAAACCCTCACTCTATCTCCTTCACCAAAATAATTGCTTGACATTCCTGATTGCTTTTATGAGACAAACTTTGTGATGCTTTTCTATGCAGAGCGAGAGACATGAAGAGTGTCTGACTTGAGATTGGGCAACAAAAATACTCTCTATAAAATTAGGTTTAAAAAATGTAGAGTAAATAGCGTTTTTTTTCTTCAGCTGCAGTGCGACTCACTAACAACCAAACCGTTATTTGACTAATGTTGGAGTTATTGTTTAAGTGGCTCACAAAGTATAGGGATTACACAGTACAGAAAGGAAAAAAAGGCTGTTAATTAAGTGAGTGAGAAATGTTTGATAGACACGCGCTGCTTTTGTTGCTTCTTCATGATTGTTATCTTTGTGGCCTTTCTTCCAACTCAAATCATACACAGCCTGCCATTTTTACATATTTTTTCTCCAGGAACCATCATAATTCACACATTTATTATATATTACCTGCAAGACCTCATGAATCCCAGTGAGCACAAAGTTCTCCAAAAAAAAAGTCCCAAAAATCATCCAAATGAGTTCCACGGACATTTTTGGAACTCATTTGGATAATTTTTGGACATTTTTTTGAAGAACTTGTTGGCATATCATCCAAAATTTTTGGACAAGTTTATTGGAGAACTTGTCTGGCAGACACTGGCGCCAGAAGCAGGCGGACAAGTTCTCCAAACTTGTCCACAAATTTTGGGTGATATGCGGACAAGTTTTGGAGAACTTGTCTGCCTCACATTGGTGCCAGAAAATGTGGACAAGTTCTCCAAACTTTTCCGCAAAAAACCTGTCTGTCAGAGCTGTTGGAAGAAAAGGGCATAATTGAGTTTGAACACTGTAATAGTGGACTGTAGCTGTCTGACTAAGGGGTTGCACTTCCATGCAGAAGCCCCTGGGTTTGGATCCCGTCATCTAGGCCTGGAATTCTTCAATGGGGATAGTTCCCCTGTAGGAAACAATTAACCTGAGTTGACCTACAGGATAGGTAAGGAACTAGCTGTAGAGAAGACCTGGAACTAGTTAGGATAATTAAGATACATAACTAAGATATAACTAGAATAAATAATTAGAATATATAAGTAGATTATGATACCAGGATATTTGAATATGATGTACAGGAGAGATGCTCAGGAAAATATGTTTAATATTGGAGTGAACTGTGAAGGATAATGAAAGAAATCATATCCCAAAAGTATGTGCCAAATTCCTGTGGGGAAGAAAAATTTTGCCCAAATTCACCTGAATTTTGTAAAAAAAAATAAAGTTTTGGAGGGATGGGGTCCTGATTGAATCACATCTTTTGGATAAAAATTGGACATATTACCCAATTTGGATCCAAAAGGCAGTTGATCTTGGACATATTTTGGATAAAAATTGGACAATATGTCTGATTTTTATCTCCCAGTTCCCAGAATAAGTTCTCAGTATTAGGAGAAAAGCCAACTTTTATTTTCATCAAATAATTTCAACTGCCACAGTTTTCTCAAAATCTTAAATAAAGATAACAGGCTTCATTGCTATTCCTGATGAATTTATTATGCTGAAAATTTCCCACAGAACAGTGCCACTTTACCACATGAAGATCAGTGAAAGCACTTTCCAGTTTTGGCCAGAGATCTCCTTCACCCATGTGACCTGGTGCTAAAAAATGTTCATACCAGCTATAATAAATTAAATGTTACTGCTTTTGTGTCAATCATTTATCTTTCCTACATTTTGGCAATGGTTACACCAACAAAGGAATTTCAACTGCATGTCCCTGGCAAAATTTTCATCAGCATCTGACAAGGGTGGCGAGAACTCTGGTCATACCTGGGACGTTTTCACTTGTGATCATGCAGTAAATTGGAAAATTGCTTGAAAAATCCACAAAAAATCCCAAAACCTGACAACATCATGAGATATATATACAGTGGCCCCCTGCCTAACAGATCTCCCATGTAAGGGATTTTCACCAAACAGACCAGCTCTGCAAGCAGTTTTTCTCCCGCCCAACAGACAAAATCTGCCAAACAGACTTCTTTTGGTTTAAAATTGGTGTTGAAAATTGAAATTTTTAATTTTTTATGTAATTGAATTCGTGTAAAGGACTTTTTGTCTAACAGACTCGTCCCTTGCACAAATCAAGTCCCTTAGACAGGGGTTGACTGTATATATATATATATATATATATATACAATTATTTTTTAAATACTATAGAAACAGTAAAATTGTGCCCAAGTGGGACAAGCCTACCATGCATAATGAACAAACTGCATGG